AGCAGGATAGCAACTGCACACACAGAACAAGGAGAAAGACGTTATTAGCACAGTTTTTCTGAAGCATTTACAGTTTTTACTCATTATATTAGAATACTACTTCTAATGCAAGTAAAATGTCAGGTCATCATTTTCCTCTTTACAGGGATTGGTTTAAAAAAAAGTCTGCAAGTAATGCTGGCTAATTATGGAAGTGATTATGAAGTTACATAGACTACAGAAAATCCCGAAGTCCAAATTTCTCAAGGACTTTTTGCCCTCCTTATTGGACTTTGATTAAAATTTAAATGGCAAACTCCATCAAAACCTGTTTAATATGGTCCCAGAGAGTAAGGGCTGACCACATTCCTTGGCCTTACAAACCACTGAAGGTCTGTAAATCACAAGTTAGGAAAAGAATGTTGGGGGGCGGGAAACCCCTGTGCCCTCTCCCACCTTGAGTGCTGGACATAGCGGGTACTGCCCTTAGCCTCCCTCCTTTCTGTAAACCAGGGAGAGTGACAATGACGATTCCGAGACCCACTCATGACACGTCCTCCCTACAAACTGGGTTTTATTACAGTAACTCTGCCATTATTATCATCTGATTCAATAAGGGTCAGAAGGATCTTCTTTGTATTTTCTTTTCATTTCCGAAAGCCTTTGTATTTTATGTAACAGGAAAAGCTGTAGGTCCAAACAGAGGGCAAAATCATATGGTGGAAGTTGGTACATGTTACAGGGGAGGTCTATGGTCCAACCAAGAACTGAATCCAGCAGAAAATTCCTGTCTGCTGCTCTCACTACACAGTCACCTGCCTTTCTAGCATCTCCCACGTTTAATACGCATGATTCCTAAAAATTACTCCCTACAAAATCCTTTCTTCTCATCCCTTACAAAACTGTTGCTTAAAAACAGAACTAAAATTAGAATTTTGTTCTTGTAAAAGCCATTGCAGACCACCGCTTGCTGGGCCCAGAATCCTGTGACTAAAGTTTTTGGGTTGGTTTTTTAATGGGAATAGCATAACCCACAAGGATTTCTCTGTGTTCTCGAGCCAACTGTGTCATCACAATGGGAACATTAATATAAATCCAATTTTATTATGTAAGAGGGAAGCTTTTATTCACTGCTGAAAAAACAAAACAAAACAAAAAGCTAGTTGTGAAATAAAAGTTATTCCTCTGGTGGTGAATCAGTGGCAGGCTTTGCTGAAGGCTGGGCTTTCTGCTGCACCAGGGCTGCCCTCCCGTCAGTACACCGGTTGGCTTCTGCAGCCTCACCTCAGGTGCAATTGTACAGTTCAGACACATTTTTAAATTGCTTATGTTAAACCGTCTACATGTTAAATTGCAGGAGATAATTCAGATGTTCCTAAATTGTGCCAGCGACATCACGGGGCTATATTCTTCCATGATTTCTGGTTCTTTCGGCACTCCCTTTGCATCAAAGTGGTTGTGTAGGAAGATGGGTGCGGGACCGGCTATAGGATACCGCCTGTCTCAGCCAGGCTACGACTGCTGGCCACTGTCTTCTTACACCAGATCTGTGAAACGTAAGCGACCGAAAGCACCACCGCTCTCTTCCGCCCTTAAAAAATTCTCAATGAGCTCAGCGGTATTTTAAATACTGAAAACCTCACTCCAATTGGTTATAAATGCCATAGATAAAATTGTAGGAGATGAGGAATACAGGAAAGCAGATTCGTGTGCATCTGTTAAAAACCTCGGTGGGGATTCAGTTGCATCTAATAAATATTTGATAGTTCCTAAATCATTTATAGCTCTGTCAGGGGTCATTTTACTTGTTTTAGATGAATAATTAAAAGGGTAATTAGGAGGATGTACAATCTGAAATGTTCATCTAATTGTTCATTTTACAGTATTTCTTACACTGCTGAGCTGTAGGACACATGTTCCCATCACCTTCCAATCTTAGCAGCATCCCCTCATTGCCAGTGATCTGGGGGCTTCCCTGCCTTCCACGTCATCCCTAGTATTCAGGACTGGCATAACCAAACATCACCTTACTGTGCGTCGGGAGCCACTGCTTTTATCCAATGAGTTCTGTAGAGTACACAGCAAGGAATCAACCCCCAAAGCCCCCTAATTTAAAATACTATACAATCGAGATTACAAAACCAAAAGAGGTGGCGCACAGCCACCAGGATCCCAACTGCGTGATGCCGTTTGCAGGATCAGGGCTGGAGCTGTAGCCCATCGCCCTTGTGAGAGCAAAAATCAACCTGGATACAAAGCAGCTCTTCCCCTGCCTTAGCAGAGCGGCTCTGGCGGTCAGGACCAGCCAGAGTGATGCACATCACGTAGGAAAAGTACTGAACAAAAACACATCTCTGGCAGAAATTTTAGGAGGTTTCCCTAAGCGGAAGGCATTTTCACAAGTTCTCAGTGACCTAAAAAGGGGTAAAGTAGCAACGTCTGTGTAATGCTGGCGAGGGTTCTGCTCCCACGGGCGCTCTTCCCACAGGGCAGGTCAGGCTCGAAGGAGCCTCATCAGCCTCAGGCCCGGCTGACACCAGCTCACACTTAATTATAAGGTGGCACAAATGAAAACAACTAATGCAAATACAACTATGTAATGTGCTTACATTCTCCAAGTGATCTTTACCACTTGGGAACCAGCTACTATGGTGATGAAACTGAACCCGCACCTTTGCCAGTGTAATCATGCACGAAAGCATTTCTAGTCGAGACGGGGGCTTAATAAATCCATTTCCATTTTCTGAATGAAACGCTGTTTTCTGTACATTGTCTGCCCTTTATCTGATATAGGCTGGGGGGAAACCAAGAAAGAGCACAACAAATCTGAAGAGCAATAACCTCTTTACCTTTTAACATTTCAGAGCGTAAAAATAACTAATTGTTCTATCTTAAAAAAAATAAAAAATTACTAGGTCCAGTAGCAATAACAATAACCCACGTAACACAATTCCTGCCAGCTAATGAGCGTCAAGGTTAAGGGCCTTTGGCTTTTCCTTGGACCCCTGTCTCTCTTAACCAGTCATTAAGTGCTGAGAAATGCCCTCTCCATCCGTCACCATTGCTCAGACAGATATTTAGTTTACTGTCTCTGTCAGTCTGCAATATGAAGGTCTCACGTGGCCATCTGCTCCAAGACTCTGCTGCCAAAATGCATCGCAATTCACAGCACAAGCTGCCTCCATGTTCTACCCACAAGCCAAAACATCCTACTTGGTTTGCTGCTCTACCAGTTACCACCTTAGAAATTTATCCTAGTCAAGTTTCTTCAAAAGGTCAGAAAACCAAGAAAAGGAATGGGACTTGATAAAATAAGGGAGGAGTTACGAGCTCAGCAGAAGAAATCAGGGATGACAGCAAGGCAAAAAGAGTCTTCACGTTACCAGTAAAAGGCCGTAAGTTACCAAGAAAAGTGACAGTTACTGTTGCTCTGTGAAGCAATAACTTGTCAGCAAAAATCCATACCCCAATGGGTGAGGAAATCAAATACAGCAGCAGTGCTAAAATCACCCAGAAGATGCAGCTTTCATTGCCAGCTGCGTGGAGACTGGAAAATTTGCTGGCACGTTTTGGTTCAAATGGTTTCCTGTTACATGTGCAGCAATATGTTACTATTACACAGAGTATAGCATTAGCGTCTTTCTTGGAAGAACAGCACCATCACTTTTTCATGGTATTTCTAATTACATTTATTGCTGGTTACTACAAACACCCCTCTGTGACCAAAAGGGCAGGGTGCACAACACAAACAGATTAATTAAGCACCAAATTTCCACAGCATTCAACCTTGCCTGAACGTCATGTTACTACAAAGGGCAAAGTCAGGATTTCAAAGCAAACAGGAGCATTTCTTAGTGAAGCTGGAAAAAAACCTCCCAGTAATGCATCAAAAACCCAGGCTCTGCTTGGTGGTGGTTTACGTTAACTGGATTTGCTTAGCGGTGAAAGAAAACAGGATCGCAGCCTGGCGCTCCATCTCATCAGAGGGGCAACAACTCTCAACTCCTGCTAAGGTCCTGAACTGCTGGAACTGGACCTGAAGCCCTTGCTGGACTCCAGGTTGCAAGCTCAGATCCAAAGTCCCCTGGAAGCCATGGGTGTATCTGAGGCCCCGCTGCACGCACAGCCATGCTGCAAACTCCCAGAGCAGGAACACGCCCTGGGTTTTGCTAGCAAACCTCTGACTAGGGACACGTTACGTAAAGCACTAGAGAGATGCATGTCGAATGTTAATAAAGATAAAAATATACTTCCAATAAATAAAATTGAATTAATTAGTGGTTTAATCCAATTCTCTAAAAATATTTGACCTTGTCAAATGAAGAGGGTGGCCTTATAATTTCTGCTTTTTACATTTTTAGAATTAAAGAGTAATCAAATGCATGCGGCTTTGTATATAAATCAACCTTGACCTTTCAGTGAACTGTTTTGGTAAAAATAAGCAGTACTCTGACTGTTCTTTTCTCTAAAAGCCAGAACAGACAGAGCAGAAGAGGATTCAGTTCAGTGAAGAACGCAGTGCTATAATCATATCAGAAACACATTAATAAGCCCCTACTACTCTGAGCAGTTATTGCTCTTTCTTCTATAAAACCTTCCAATTTCTAAGACTTCCCCTTTCCTGCAAAAGTCTGAGCCTTGCATCTCAGCATTCTTTTGGATTAGATGTTACAGCCTCTCAAAGCTGATAATTCAAGGTTACACCTTGAAACTCTTATACCGCCTTTTATTCTGAGGAACAACTGACTACCAAGAGAATTATTTTATACTGAGAACCTAAAAAAAAAAAAAATCCCTTAAAAAAAGAAAACAAACCTTAAAATCAATCTGCAGAACTAGCTTTGCACAGAATGCAGAGGCAGAGATAGGCAGCTGTTGGAAAATGATATTTAAAAAAAAACAAAACAAAACAAAAAAAACCACAAACAGCAAAACCCAAACAACAGAACAATGAAAAAGGAGGAGGGTGGAATATGGCTGGAATTTTTAATTGACTACAGGCAGGCTATGGAGACAAACAGAGAAGAACATACCTGTTTTTCCTGTATTTTTCATCCAAGTCTTGTTAGAAGATTCATTGTCAAAACCATCAAGCCGCAGCTCTTGATAACCATCTCCAACGTGGGCCTGATGGTCTACGATATCTATGGGAGACTGGAGAGACCCTCCGCACTTCGCGCTGGAAGTAACCCAGTGCTCGGGACCATAGGTACCTGTTAAAAAATACCAATGGCAATTAACATTCCAGGGGCTCAATAGTGCTGGGTAACACTGAAATCAGAGGATGAAGCACTTAAGCTCCCCAGGTAACTCCACCGCAGTTACACTTCCCGCCTTTGAAAGAGGTTAAGACTTGTAAACTTAGGAGGAGATTGAAATCCATTAGCTTTGTGCAGTACTCCAACTTTGCCTCTAGCAGTAACTAACAATGGCCTTTTTTTTTTAATTACTATTCTATAAAACTATCTGCAATTCCCAAGTTCCCCTCGTGCGTATGTTATCAATTAGCACGGTGTTACAGGAACTTTCCTAAAGCTTCAGCCTTAATATATTACTATATAGTTTACCTTTTCACATGAGACAAAGCTACCCATTAACTCGTGTTTGTGCAATGCTCTGCTTAGACAATATGATGTTTATTAATGATCTCATTTCTTTTGGAGGTTTAGGAAACCAGAAAAGATAAAAAGAAAGAATTAAGCTAAATGTATATTAGTACATTTGAAGAAAACAACAAAGGAAAAAAAAAAATCACTCTGACCAGATGAAGTAAAGGGGACAATGATCTGTCAGGAAAACACAGTAACTTTCTTCTGCTGAGTTTCTTACATGAGTTTTCGGTTCCCTTATGAGCACAGCCTGTTTTCACCTGATGTAAACTACTCTCTCAAAACAAGTCAAGTCAAATATTAGCAGTAAATGAGAAGCTCCAAGGACTGACGGGCAGTGTTTTGCATATGCACTTGGGCACATCAGAGCCATCCGTACTACAGGACAGCTAGCCCAAACCAGACACAAATACTGTCACCTCTCCTCCCATCCACACCCCTGTACTCTTTTTATTTAGAAAAAATGCAGGGAATAGTTTTAGTTCTGGAAAGCAATGTAAGCTTCTGTATTTTGTGAGCCCATCACTAGCCACCGTTCAAGATCAGTAAGAGAAGAGCATGCTACAGCCGCAAAGGGAAATGACACCAGCAGCCTCTGTCCCCAGCACTCAGGGCCCTCAGACGCTCAGCGTAATGCTTTAGAGTATTTTTCAGCAGTTTGAGATACTCGCTGTTATCACAGGTGTCCACCCAGCTCACAAGGCAAAGGAGGAGAAGGCATCCTGCTCCTGTTCCAGAGCTTTCGCCAGCTCCAGATTACTTTTTGGGGTAATAATGAAGTCCTCTCAACCCCCAAATTGTTTATCTAAATGTCACGACAGGATCGCACCAGCACTGCTGCTGGGAGAAGGAAGGCAGCGGTGTCTTATGGCAGTGGAGCTGCAAGGGGCAGCATCGCAAACCAGCACTAAATCTGCCAGAGGTTGTCTGCCACAGCCCTAACTCACCCTGCCCATTCTGTGAGGTTCTCCAGCACGAACAGTCAATAAAAATAATACATAAAAATAAAAGGTTTCAGGCAAAGACCTTGTCATCCCCACCACATACCAGCTCTAGATGCACTATAGCACCAGAGACCCTCACCAGCACCCGTACGAAGATCTCCAGCGAATTTCAATTTTTTCTTGCGATCTCCCTCTCCAACTCTTAAATTGTATTAACACAGACTAAGAGATTATCTTCCTCGTGAGTGCAAACAGTGGTTTAAGCTCCTAGAGTAACAGCACAGAGTTCTTGTAAAGCACTTTTCACTCACGGTTCTTGAAGTGCTTTACAGCAGGGATCAGCAGCATCATTCTCATGTAAAGACAGGGAAATTGATGGCCTGGGAAGGGAAGCAATTTGCTCAAGCTCATCTACCAAAACCAAGTTACAACCCAGAGTTGAACTCCGCTCTCCTGAGACCCCTGATGTCATATCTGTACCGTATCTCTGAACTACGCAGTCAGCACGTCTGTTCAATAGGCAGACAGCAGTAAATGATGCACCAATATGCATTTATTACCCTTGCGTCTGAGAAGCATATGTAAATTCAATTAGTGCCATCCAAACCCAGCAGTTGTGAAGGCCAGTTTCTTTGGCCCCTGGGTTTTAATCTGCCTAGTTGCAAAATGCATTTTTTCCTATCTTCCCATGGGTTAACGAAGGCCACTTAATCAACAGTAAGATTTCGCGCTATACTCATCACACACAAATGCTGCGCGGTAACCAAAACAACAACATGAAAACGTTTGACTTTCAACTACAACTAGGCAAAATCACAACATCCTTTAAAAATCAGTTACATCATCTGTCCAGGTTAAAAACCAGTTTCGTTTATCTCATGGTTCTACTTGTACTGTCAGCAAAAGCGACTTCCAGTTGATTTCCCAATGTACCACAGCCAAAGAGAAGAGAATTATTAAAAACCCTACACGGGGAAAACCGAACATGTTCCACTCAAACACAGGTATGTTTCCTGATTCAGGATGCTCTTAGTAATTGGTTTGCAGTGAATTAATTGGTAATTCAGATTTCCTTTTCATATAACCTTGCATTTACTCCAGGAAATTTGGGAATTTGCTTTACAATGTTTAGTACTGCACATAATCATCAAACCTGCCAGCTCTTATTTTTTGGCTTTGTTATAAACATGGGGTGAGCTTTTCAAAAGCACTCTGCTCACAGAGGCTATCGCAGTGGTTTCAGCTGTGCATTCAAAAGGAGCTGTGCACTCAGTTTTTTCTTTTTTTTAAGTATTTTGGTGACCCTTCAGTCAATGGGGAATTGGTTTGTTTTTTGTTTTTTTTTTTTGAGTAGGCGGATTTATTTTAACAGGGACTGTAGGGTTCCTTCCATGCATCTTGTCACAAAGACTTTTTTTTTTTAAAAGTATAGCCAGCTCTCAACCGATTTGCAGTGAAAACTGTCTTGTCAAAGCGAATAAAATAAGCCATAAGGGCAAAGAAGCAAACCACCACGTTGAATTAAAACCTCAAGTGACTTAGGTACCTGGACTGACGCTTGCTGAAATGTAGTTTTTCCACAGACCTTTAAAGGCTTGTATAGTTTTGTATCATTTTAAAAAACATTAAGCCTGCTTTTTTTAAATTAAACTTGTTTGGAATAATCTAATAGCCATACCTCTCCTTCTATAAATACAGTAGCTTCACTTGGCTCTAAATCTTTAATTTACAAAAAAGCAGCCTAGCAGTATCTGCTCTCCTCATGTGATAGTATTAGTTTTTAGGCATAAAATGTTTCTGTATTGGTGATAAATTATTAAAGAAAAATCTAATGCAACGGAACTCTCCCAGCAATTCAAACCCCCAACTTAGTGCTGGTGCAGTGACTCCAATTCCTGACATCCCCGATTACAGTCATAAGGCTAAACTCTGATGTAGAGGTTCAAGACCTGCTAGTTATAATCAGCACGAGATTTTATAAACAGCTAGGTTTTCCATTAATTTCTTTCGGAAGTTTTTGATATGCAAATTATTACATGCAGTATGACCTGCACCATTATGGCAGCAACTCCAGACAGAAGCAGAGGCCGTGATCCCAACATCTCCATCCCCAGCGGCGCAGGACTGGGGCCACCCCAGCGTTAACAATTAGCATGAAAAGGCAAAGCAGAGCTAGGGGGTGAGAAGCAAATTTGTATTTTTGAGTTTAAGACCAGAGTAAATAAATTATATCACCTACCCAGAAAAAATAAGCTCAACAACCTATAAAATGTAATCAAGAATGGTGCAGTGGGATTCATTTATTCACTGGTAGCCATCAGAAGGTTTAAGTCTAACTGCCTGCTTTTTTCCATGGACATTCAAGTGCAGTTTTAATTGAAACTGATCTTCCACTACAGATTTCAAATTAATTCTTTTTCCATGTGTCTCATGCTCCAGACATCCTTGCCTTGCAAAAAACCCTATATCATTAGAGGAGGAAATAGAACACTTTTTCTAAGCTTGCAGGTATTGATTACCTATTCCTTCCATCAAAGCACAATTGCCATTCTGCACTGTATAAATCTCTTCAGCGTTAGACACTTTATAAAGTACTGAGAATTATATCATTAATCATTTGCAGTTGCACCTGTCTTGCTTTATTGAATTCTTTGTTTTTTAGAACTTTAAATAAATGCTTTTAAATAAAAACATGACACTAAATAAAGACTCTGTTTCACTTAAACCTAGTAAAAAAAAAAAAAATCTCTTCATTGTGTGTGTGACATTTACCCATCTGAAACAGAGTAACCTATGGCTATTTGTATTTCATTTTTTCCAAGAGTAAGCATTGTGGCTTTAATCAAATAAAATTTGGAATGAATTTGAATTGGCCTTTTAAGGGCTGACAAATAATTCAGTTTTCAAAACCCAAACAAGTTAAGAGCCCTCACCTGTGTTAATAAATAATACACATTTCCATGGAGATGGTGGGACGATCCACAAGCAAAGGTAAGCATCAGACAGCCCCATCCTGGAGCTGGAGTGTTTGATGCATGAGCAGCACAGCAACGGGAGGGACTGATAAGATTTGGCATCCTCAGATACTGAAATTAGTGTCTGCCTCTAAGTACTCATGCCATTAGGTCCAACAACAAGGTGCACACATTGGGGAAGGAGGGCTGTGTTCACCCTCCAGGTCAACCAGATGCATGGCAGCAAGACAAGATGATGACGACTGGAGAACACCTGAGTGACGGGATGGGGCTAGGGGCTAAGGAAGGCAGTGAGGAAAGGGAATTTGGCCACAGTGATGCCCTGAGCGTGGCAGAGAAGAGGCCACCCTCTCCCAGCTGCTGCAGGGTGTTTTTTCCCCCAGCCCCACCACACCAAGCTACACTTGCCCCATTCCCCAGCTCAGGCTGGTGCACGGGACAGAGTACTTCTCCACCGCAGCCCCACCGAAATCCTGGCCCACGTCCACTTGCAGCTCAGGGAGCCGCAGAGCCCATCGATCTCCCGGGGCTGGCAGCCCTGCGAGCTCATTCTGGATTACAGGCAGGTCTCTGGGGACGTGACCTTATCTCTGCCGAAATCAGGGGCAAAAGGGCCGCTGGCTTCCAAGGCCTGAGAGCAGAGCTGGGGTCAGGAACCTCAGCACCACCGTGGCTTCTTACACAC